TATAACTCGCCTAAAAAACATATGTTAAAAACAGTGGAGTAACTACAACCCCGTAGCACCCGCGGCTGCGGGGGCCGTTAATTCTGGGCCCCGGCCGACAAAAATCCCCTTTTATGATTTATACAGATTTAGACATAAGCATTAGCGTAATAAACAAGATTAAAATTTATTTGTATTGTTTTATTAAGTTGACAAGAATATGAGTGTTTTTTATTAAAAAAAAATTGAGCCGAAGCGCGTCCCAAAAAAAATATGTTTTAGGATTTAATTTTTATCTTTTTATCCCCCCTTATTCTAAAGTTAAAGACCAATGCCGAACGTAGCGAATTTTTAGTAACGCCACTGGTTAAAAAGCATTCATTCAGTCATAGTTTCGCCAAACTCCAGTGGCCGGTTAAAATCACCCTAATTTAATTCATATACTAATAAATCTTGTACGAAATTTATGACATCGAAGGATCCGTTAAATGGTCGTTTTTGGAATGTTGGTAACCGTAATTAATTTCCTCGTACTTAAAGTTTGATCAGCAACAACTTGTACTAAAACTCTTATCTCAGCAGCTTAATTTCTGCCTGGACACCTTTTATACAAACCTTGAAATTTTAATCTTAATTTCAGAAAAACATAAAACTTTAACTAGGTTAGTTTTCTAAGTAAGCCCACTTATCTCCTGAAAAGGGCTTATATACAACTATACAAATTGTTAATGGAATCGCAGTTGATTTGTCGGACGTGTGGTAAATGTTAAAAAAATAATCATTAGTCTATCCTTAAAATATTCTAGAATTTTTACAGAGTTTTTTTTACTAAACCTCATGAAAATGAGATTTAGTAGGTCTATAACTTTTTAAATATTAATGATACAACAAAATTTAAAAAACAGTATACTTATTGAATACACCATATACAGACTGTATAGAATCAAGTAAGTAAGGCTGGAGACAAGGATGTCAAATTATATTCTGATCAGAGAAAAAGAAACAAACTTTAATTGGGCGTGGTTTAAACCAAGCCATTCGTAATTACGAACCATAGTTGCCAGGTTGTTTTAAATCAGAAGAGAACGATTATAATTATTTAATAAATAGTTAAATTTTATTTGTTTGAGACTTTAAAAATAACAAAAAAATTAATAATATGTCAAAAATAATTTGATTTAGTTAATTTTCTTACTCTCTAAAAATTAATTAGTCAAAAGTAACTAATTTAATAGTTAATAGTGGCTGCTTTTTCACTTGTGCCATGGTTAACCATGGAATACCATGGTATCCCAAAATTTAACAGCCAATTCTTATGTAAAATTTTCCCCTGAATCAGAAAATACCGTCAAAATTTAAAAAAGTAGAACAGTTTTTGAGATATAGTCAATTCCATATTAAATGGAAAATTGACTATATCTCAAAAACTGTTCCACTTTTTTACAATTTTACATAAGAATTGGCTGTTAAATTTTGGGATACCATGGTATTCCATGGTTAACCATGGCACAAGTGAAAAAGCAGCCACTATTAACTATTAAATTAGTTACTTTTGACTAATTCATTTTTACGGAGTACTTTTAATATTAAAAAATAAGAAAAACACCCCTTTTAGGAAACAATAATAGCATATGGCAACAGCGCGGCATGCAGCCAGATACAAGGTACAAGGCAGTTTGATCTACTGTGTTTGTTCAGTAGCTCCGACGCTGTCGTAGGGAAATGTGTATAGTTTTTAAGAAATACATTTTCGCCATTAACTGGAATTTAATGGATTTTAAACAATACTTAGTTTTTATTTGCAAAAATTCATTAAAACAAAACAAACGAATTTGATAAAAATAAAACCCATAAATTCTCAAACAAAAATAATTCAATCCCTACCACAGTGGGCGGGGTTTGGCACTTGTTTTATTTAAGTGTATCTATTCGTTTTAATACACACTGTATATAGTTGCCATTAAATTTTTTTTCTATCATATTAATAATCAAACAATTTTATAGAAAGTAAATGACTACAAGTTTTCAGGAGTAAATAATACATGAGATGTTATTTAAATGGGAAATCTATATATAAATTCTATGATGGACCTCTCTTAAAATTAAAATTGGGGGTTTGAATTCGGACAGAATTTTAATTTAGATGTATTCGAGGATGTATTCTATGGATTTTGTCTGTGAGGCAACAACAAAACAGTCGATTTTTTTGGCACTCTATATTTTAAATATAGTATGGTTCTATAACTTCTTATGTTATGTTTCAATGCCCTTAAAAATCCATTAAAAAAAATAAAATTAAAGGCGTCAGTGGATAAATGTTTGTCATTGAAGTGCTAATAATAGATACCTAATGCCTGTAGAAAAATATTTAGTTTTGTAAAAAAATGGAAATATAAATAATCGTTAATAAACTAATAGTTCTTTATTAAAACGTTTTCCAGATGGGAACTTGCGACTGCATTATTTTTAGGATGGGCTCCATCTTTTTCTACAAGGAATGCGCTGTTTACGAGTAAAATGTGCATCTCTTATTTTTCAGGATTTTGTAAGGTGGAGAACATAATTAAAATTATAAAAAATTGGTTTAGCAAAATAAAATTTGTTTTTAATATATTTTAATTAGATTAAAAGTATTATTAAGTATCTTTGTGCGTCAAAAGCATTCAAAAGCTGTAGGTACACTTTTTCGAAAAAGCGAACAAAAATTATTTCGTGCTGATTTGAGGAATTTTGATCCATAAGTCATAAGAGCTGTAATTGGAAAAAAATGTTCCTGTATAATCCTTCTTTTAAATAAATTTGTTTTGTATACCTAATTTTATCTTCAGAAATTATTGTCTACTCTCTAAAAAATGAGTTAGTCAAAAATGACTAATTACTACTGGCTGCTTTTTTACTTGTACCATGGTTAACCATGGGAAACCAAGGTATCCCAAAATATAACAGCTAATTCTTATGTAAAATTGTCCCCTGAATCCGAAAATACCATCAAAAATTATGAAAGTAGAGCAGTTTTTGGGAAATAGTCAATGTTAAATGGAAAATTTACTATATCTCAAAAACTGTTCTACTTTTTTAACTTTTGACGATATTAATATAAATTAATATAAATTTAATTTTCTTATTAATTTTTTTTTATTTCATGTTTTAGGCAATTTTGTGTCCCAGTAATTTTTGATGATACATTTTTGTTTAAATATTTTCCCCAATGCTAGTTTGGTTGGTATAGTTAGTTTTGGATATTATGCATATTAGGTACTTAAAATCTGTAGTAATTATTATGCAGTAATAGTAATATTTGATGATTAAATTTTAAATTGCTTCAAGAATTTATTGCTATGAGAATTTATTGCAATATTGTCAAATTATTTTTAATTTATTTCCTTTGCGTGATAAATTTTTACTATGGGAATTTTTTGTTTTGCAAAATTTTTGTTATGAGTTATTTTTGCTTTGAGATATTTTTGCATTGAGCACGTTTTGCTAAGAAATTATTTTTAAGAAATTATTTTTAAGAACCTTATTCAACAAGGTTATTCAACCTTATTCAACAAGGTTATTTTATAATTTTAAACTTAACATATTTTTCCTACTCCCACCTTTAAAACGCCCTTTATCGTACATGTTTTCATGACACTAAGTGACCTTTTAAATACACATTGACAAGTTGTGGCTTTATGGCGCTTTAGTCACGGGCTGAAGTTAGTTTGAAATTAGTTGACATTTGGGCAAATTTTCGTTAAATGTACATTTGCTGTCCCCAGCTAATTTTATTTTTATTTTTGACCTTTGTTGATAAGTTTTGTATTTATTATATTTAAAAAACCCCTTCCTATCAGGACCCATCGTATTTTTTTTTAATTACTTTATGTTTCTATATGTATATGGCAGAAAAACTAGGTGAAATGTCCTGTAACCTAACTGTCCCAAGAGGCGATTTTTTTATTTAAATTATTATATTCTTCTTCTTTGCAGCTTTCTTCTGAAAAAATAAATTATTTTTGAACAATGGAAAGTTCTTTTATTCGTATATAAAAATAAAATAGTTTTCTACAAAGTAGTTTAAACAGAAAAAAATATTAAAGTTGACATTCAAAAATCTTGTCTTTTTCCTAACGTCGCACCGTCTTCTATGCCGACTGCTTCGAAATAGAGACACGAGATAGAGATACTATCGTGTTATTTCTAGAGGGCATACATGTTATTTATCACCGGTTATTTAACCAACCCCTTAACCACGGTTAAGTGAATGGTGCAACGAAGTTTTCTGGATTAGCTAATTTAATCACGATTAAAATGCTAACCCACGTTGGTGCAAACGGGCATAATACTATGTGAAAATTATTTTATTTCAATCTCAATAAAAAATACAAAAGTATTAAATAGTTTTTCAACGCCAATATTTGAAAAGTTTATATGAACATTGTACTGACTTTTAATTTCGCCGGCAGTAAACTATAACTTAAATTCGGGCACGGACTCCACTGTAAAGTCCTCATAAAACATTTTCTTTACTTTCACAGTGAAAGTTTCACTGAAGAAATACATTTCGATTTATAACCTTTATAATCTATGTTTATAAAATACACACAGATTCCCCTATTGTTTCATAGATGGCGCTCTATACAAATTTTTGATTTAAATCATTTTAAGATAATAATGAGTATTTGTCGTAGAAAAAGTATAGTATGCACCTCGTTTATAAACTTTTCTATACACTCATTAATTTAAGCACTCGCTCGCAAGCTTGCTCGTGCCTAAATTAAATTTTTGTTTAAAATGGCGTTTATCAAACTTGATACATAATATACTATTATTGAATTAGTTTTTAAATGAAATTAAGCAATTTTTCGTACGCCAACCAAGAGAAAGTAATATTTTATTTCACAGTTTTCAAGAAAATTCATGTTAAATAATTTATTGTTCTCATTCTCCCAACATAAACATAAAGGGACCAAAATAGTTAAGATAGGTTAGTTAAAAACAAGTAAAAACAATGATGAACAATATGTGTGTTGCAGGTGCCAGAAGTGGTGCCCCAGTTGGACCGCGCCAAGCACGCTCACGTAATCGAAGGCGGCCTGTGCCACCTGTGCGGCATCGAGACGAGCAGTCCGCGAACGAAGCACTGCAGCGTGTGCAACAAGTGCGTCGCCTCCTTCGACCACCACTGCAAGTGGCTGAACCACTGCATCGGCGGTCGCAACTACGGCCTCTTCCTCATGTGCGTGTCCACGGCGGTGGCGGCGGCTGCTCTGGTCGCCGCCATTGCCATCGCCGAGCTGGTGCTACATCAAACTTCTTCTTCGTCTACGACACACTCGCACTCGGATTCCCATTATAATGATGCTCTCGATAAGAAGGTAGGTACTTGACTATAAAGGCCGGACCCAAATGAAATAACGGTTCCTGTCCGGTTCCGGTTCCGAGAGAAACGACAAATTTCGGTTCGGGTTCAGTTACGGTTCCATTCTATTTCTGTCCGGTTAGGACAAATCTTCTCGGTCCATACGGTTTTTTTCGGTTCCAATTTTTTTATCATGTAGGTATATAAATACATAAGTAAAATTATAAAATGAAAAATTTATTTTTTGTAATTTTTTTTTGGCATCTAATTAAATTACTTTGTCTATTTTTTTTTCAAATCATTCATTCCCTTTTTTTTACTTTTATTCTCGATCGGCTTTATCTTTTTCTTCCGATCTTGCGATTGAAAAACTGGAAAATTCATATTTAAAATTAGTTTTTCTCCAAAAATTCTGTTTGTTCTCACAATTTGTCACAAATAATTGTTCCTCTATTTTTTTTCTTTTATGTTTGATCTTATTGGTGAAAGTATAAATTTGTGACCAGAAAAACGCCTTTTAACGCTTACTTGTGTGGCAGGTGTCATCAGTATACAATGTATACTATACATTAGGGTGTTTCAAAAAAATCGACTTTTTCTTTTTCTTCAAATGGTCGGCAAATTCTTTCAGAGGATGTCAACACAAAGACCTCGTCAAAATTTGAGCTTTTAATTTGAAGATTTAGAGGTAGCGGATCGCAATTTTCTATTTCCCATTTAAATAACATGGGAATTTTTTTTTTAACTTTGAAATTTTATACGTCTGAATCAAATCAACTTATGTCAAGGATCATCTTAAATTTTCATAGTAAATTTAACGCTCTACAAAAAAGGTCTCCTATCATTTTTCTATAAATTGATTCCTTCCAGAGTTATTCGAGGCCAAAGTTTGATTTCCATCGAATTTTCGCGTTTTTTTAACATTTATGGTACAATTATCATTATACGGGTGTCCCGAAATCAGGAGGCCAAACTTAGTGCATTATTCGTATAATAAACATGTATCAAAAAATGCTCCCTAAAGGAGCTACGGCCCCCTGAATAGGAGCCTAAGAGGATAATTTTTTTTAAACTATTCCTAGAGGGTTGAACATGAACAAATGAATTTTCGGTAGGTACTTTGGTAATTTTGACATGCTGAATCTAGATCTATGATCAAAACTGTTAAAATTTAATCATAGGCGTAACATTTGGAGGGGGCAAAGTTACAAAAATAGCCCCAACTTTTTTCTGGGTTAATAATTTAATTTTTTTTATGAAATTATGAGAATTTATAGTTTTTTACGAAAAATAGGTACTCTTGATTTGAATTGCTCAGATGCACCATTTTCGAGAAAATATATATTATAATAATAATACATATTTTCATTAAAACTTTGTAGTAGGCTTTGGAAAAAAGTGACGTTTTTTTGTTTTTTTGTTTTTTTTACAACACTTCCTATGTTTCAGATATAAATATGTGATTTTTTTACTACATGATGCTAAAAGTTGAAAAAACGAGAAAATTCGATGGAAATCAAACTTTGGCCTCAAATAACTCTGGAAGAAATCAATTTATAGAAAAATTATAAGAGACATTTTTTATAGAGCGTTAAATTTACTATAAAAATCTAAGATGTTCCTTGCCATAAGTTGATTCGATATAGACGTATAAAATTCCAAAGTTAAAAAAAAAAAATTTCCTATGTTATTTAAATGGGAAATAGAAAATTGCGATCCGCGACCTCTAAATCTTCAAATTAAAAGCTCAAATTTTAACCAGGTCTTTGTTTTGACATCCTCTGAAAGAATTTGCTGACCATTTGAAGAAAAAGAAAAAGTCGATTTTTTTTAAACACCCTACTATACATAATACTAGGCAACATTGTAATTAATAAATCCCCACTAAAAATACACCCAACACCCATGCTAGTCAAAATACCTACATAGACCTACATGGTAGTCATTTTAATAAATCAGTCTTCAGAGTACAGGGCTCCCACACCTCCTAAAACTCATAAAATTCATAAAATTTTGCTTAAGTCTTGAAAACTCCTAAAATTCTCCTAAAATGGCCGGCAATCTCCTAAAACTCATAAAAATTTAATATAAATAGGCCAACCTGACTGTTTAATTACTTAAATTTAATTTTATTAATGAAACTGACTTTTTAAGTAAGATAGTAATTATTAACACGGGATGACTGTAAAAAATAAGAGGCGCTCAAAACTATAAACATGTAAAAAAGGTACTTTCGTTCTTTAGGAATGCGATGCCTGATTGGTGGAAGCGGTTCCGATTGTAGCCGAACACGAACTTTTGTCAAATATCGTGTCGTGGCTGAACTTAAAACAGTAAATAATTATTACCGCCTATGTTTTGTGCATTAATGCCATTATTTCAGTGGCGGCTGGTGGATTTTGGGTATACCAATATCTCAGTTATTAGACATGGGACCCACACCAAATTTATAATAGTTTATAATGACTTTAAATAAAGTTTTCCGCAAAGAGAATTTAAATTGAAGTTTGCGAAAAAAAAGTTAGTTTTTCCTGGTGCCTCACCCGCCTCCATGCCCCCTATTTAAGATTATTCAAATTAAAGTGGTGCAATTTATTATCTACTATAATTTATCGACAAATTTAAAATTTTATTTAAAAAATTCAAATATTACAGATTTTATTCGATTTTAAATTTTTATTATTTATTTTATTAAAATAGTAAGTAAGTAAGTAAAAATGCCGTATTTAGACAGAGAAAGACAAAATATTTTAACTTATTATCTAAAAAATAATTTAAATATTTTAGAAACGCTTGTATTTAGGTTTATGGTATATTATAAGAATTATGCTTAGAATTTTACAAGGAATCGAAAAATAAATTCATATATAGGGTGATCCATTGAGAAAAAATAAACTTTTTGTTTTTTCCTGTATACTGATCAATTTTCCAATTTTTTTATACATAAAAAAAGTATTTTTCAGTACCTATAGGTATACATAACCACACTTTTAAATTTTTTTGAGACACTTAAAATAAAATAGTTAAAAGGGGGAGACATTATAGGGGATCAAAGAGATATTTTTTTATAGTTTTGTTAAAAAGACTTATTTATTTTTTTCCTATTTTTTTAAGTACAATGTAGTTTTTTTATTTAATTACAAAAAATCATTTGCATACTTTATTTCTCATAAAATTCTCCTAAAATTATCCAAAAAACCTCCTAAATTCCTAAAAAAAAACTGTAATTTAGCCGTGGGAGCCCTGAGAGTAGAGTATACTCTGGTATTATTTACTTCATGGCGCAGTCGGTAGGATATTTTGTAGTGGGGGTTTATTAATTACAGTGTTGTCTAGAATTATATAATATATTTGTATACATATGATATCTTTCTTCTTCTAATAAAGTTATTTTAATTTACATTTACAATAAGTACCTATTTATACAATTGCATGGTATTAAAACAGCAGGAACGCTAACAATACTTGTGCTAGAGTGTTTAATTTATAGATTTATAGCCCGTGATTAAATATTTTTTTTGCAAAATCTAATTTTATAGATTTTTTTAACGAAACAAAACATTTTTTATAGTTTTTTCAAAAAGAAATTAAGAAAAAAACAAAAAATAACCTAATAACCGTTTTAAATTTAAAGGGTTCGGGTTCGGTTTCTAGAGTTACGTTTAAAAATATTATGGGTTCGGTTATGGTTCCGGTCCACAAATAAATACCGGTTCCGGTCCGGTTTTCTGTCCCTGATAGATAGTGATATTTGTTGTCGAGTTTTTCCTATTTTTTTTAACGCAAATTTAAAAAAAACCGTCAGTTTTATACAGGCACTCTTTCACTTAACAAAACAATACGTACCTACTGTTAAATTTAGTTTGGCAATACATTTTTAAGGTTATTATTAATAATTGATATTTTATAACATAAATAATAGCATAATAAGTTGCTCATTAGTTGCTAATTAATTGCGACAGAAAAAATTATTAGCACATTTTATACAGAAAAAAAAGAAACAACCGATTTTGTAACTAGGTAATTCCTATTTATTTAACAATTGCATTTGATAACATTCTCACTTAATGTTTCGTAACTTGACGTCATCTTGGCGAAGCAACAAATGAAAAAAATAATTATGTGACATGTAAACTGCATAGGAATTAGTTGCATATATGCAACTAACTATAGTTAGTCAAGTTACGAAACATTAAGTGAGAATGTGATCAAATGCAATTGTTGAATGAATATGAATTACCAAATCGGGAGCTTTCTATTTCCGTCTTGTAAGTTAAATCTGCATATATGTTGATAAATATGAATTAGCTGCTATAGCTAATTATAATTAGTTACTTGCAGCTTAAGCTAAATTTAGCTCATAAATGTATAAGCAAATTCTGCAAGTAACTAATAAGAAACTAATTCCTATGCAGTTCACAATGTGAATAAGATCATTTTTGCCTATTGCTTTGCCAAGTTGACGTCAAGTTAGCAAATCACTCCTGTTTTTTTGTAATATACTCTCTTAAAATGAATTTAGTATAAGTCAAAAAGCAGCCACTAATACCTTTAGTAATTAGTCATTTTTGACTGATTAATTTTTAGCGAGTATACCTATATAAAAAGTTATTTATTAGTATAATCTGCAAGCAAATAATTATCAACTAATTCCAATGCTTGTTGCTTCCCAAGTTTACGTCAAGTTAGCAAAACCACTCGTTATTTTTTTAATAGCCAAAAAATATTTATGATCAAAATCTGCAAGCAACTAATTGGCAACTTATTCCTGTACAGTTTACAACGCCATACGATTATTTTTTTGCTTTTGTTTTCGCCAAGTTGACGTAAGGTTAGCAAAGCACCTCCTGTTTTTTAATATAAAAAAATATTTATGAGCATAATCTGCAATCAACTAATTAGCAATTAATTTATATGTATAGGAATTAGTTTCTAATTGGTATACAGTTGTACATGTGTATATATTCCTATACATGTGTATATATAGTTCCTATACGTGTCTTTATATAGTTTACA